GTGAGAGGCCAGAGGCCCTGTGAATTGGTTATCCAACCACGTAGATTACTTAATCAATTGCTCAGTGTACTCAAATATGCTTGTATTAATTATGCTCTTTGTTCTATCTTTCTTTCCTTCCTGGGAGGTTCCAGAATAGGGGTCCTGGCCAGGGCTCACCCAGTGCAGCACTTACTACAGTGCTCCTTATAGAGAGCTGTTTTGGCATGTCTGGCTCTTCTGTGAGATTGTGAACTCTGGAGAGCCAAGAGCCAGGCCTTACTTAGCTCTGGGTCCCATTCATTCAACAAATGTATATCCAGCACCTGCAGTGTGCCAAGCACCAAAGTAGGCCTTGGGAATGCAGAGATGGTTAAGAGTGGTCCCTGCTCTATGCTTGTGAGAGAGAAGGGAATGGGATAAGCATAATAATAATGTTTTGTAGTAAGTGTTTGAGAAAATAGAGGCCTTGCAAAATTATTAACTTACGCACAGGCTGTAACAAGGTAGTTTGAACACAGGCAGTTTAATTCTTTTTTTTTTTTTTTAATTGAATCAAAATTGATTATACATATTTTGGGGGTTCAACATTGCAATATGTTGATCAAATCAATATTCCTAGCATATATATTGTTACAACTCGTAATTATTCTTTATGCCCCTTGTCCAATATCTCCCCATCACCAACCCCCCTCCTCCCCCACTAATTACCCTAAATTTCTTCTCTCCTTCTGAAAGAATAATGGTTACTCTGTTGATTTGTTGCCTAGATGATCTGTCCAATGCTGAGAGGGATGATCAGGTCCCCTAATATTATCATAGAGCAGATGCTTCTTCTGTCACTCTGAAATGGGCTTTGTGGAGAGAGACATCCTCTTCTTTTCTTTATCTCTGCTGGTGACTCTCCTTGTATCGATGTACTCCAGTGGCTGGCAGACCATCTGTGTGGTGGTTGTGGTGTCTAGCTGCTTTTGCGGCAGCCGTGGTTATTGTGGTGGCTGTGATAGGCCACCCACATGGAGGTGATGTTTTGGGCATGCTCCTTGGCACTGGCAGTGTGCCTGGTTGTGGGGAGTGTCTGGTCCTCGGCTCCCTGCCTCGGGACCCCAGGCGGGCTCCAAGGTGCTGGCGCAGTGTGCCTGGTTGTGGGAGGGGGGTCCATCACTCAGATCCATGCCTTGGGTCCCTGGGTGGGGCCCTGAGGTGCTAGCAGTGAGCCTGGTTGCAGGAGGGGGGTCTGTTCCCTGGCTCCATGCCCTGGGCCTCCAGGCAGGGCCCTGAAGTGCTGGAGGTGTGTCTGGTTGTAGACAGGGCATCTGGTCCCCAGATCCATGCCTTGGATTCTCAGATGGGCCCCAAGGTGCTTGCTTGCATGGTGTGCCTGATTGTGGGAGGCGGGTCTGGTCCCCTTCTCCATGCGTTGGGCCCCTGGACTTAATTCCCTGTGTAAAAGTTATTTTAATCAGCTAATCTCAAGTAACATAGAAAATACTTTATTTCAAACACATGTCATTTTATAAAGTGTTTTTTTCTCTTGTACAGAGGAACATTGATTGCTTTCCATATATCAGTATCAATTCTTGTTCAAGAAGGGACCAGGGTCTGTTCTCACTGTTTTCAAATGTTTAATGAAATTGAATCCAGAGGCATATTTACCTATTGAATTTTGATGAACTTTTGACAATCCAGGTATTTTCTAATTAGAGGATTTCAGTTCGTTAGTTTACTAACTGTGCCACAGCAGGTGTGTTTTGTTTTAAAGGTTGCTTCTTTTGGGATCCAGAGCAGTATTTGGAAGAAATGATTGTTTCTCATTGTTACTGTCATAAAGTGGAGAAATGTGAGGGTACTTCAGAATGTTCGTTGAAAAACAGAATTTAAAGATAATACGAATCTTTCCATGCACTTTTTGACGACCCCTTGTATTTGACGTGGGGGTGGGGGTGGGGGTAACACGAGGTGATCTTGTCATTGTTCCTGTGCCATGATGATGGGGACCAGGTCCCAGCATTCGATCTGGGATGTGGTGTTGTGTCCAGCCCAAGTATCTGTGAATTTAAGGGTGTGTGAATTCATGTTTTATACATTAGTCACACGAACTAGTGCTTCTCAGAGCATGGTCCAGTTCTTTAACAACCTTTCCAGACTAAAGGAGTGGTAGTGGCAATAAAATGATTAATTTCTAGGTTATTTACTAGACCCTAGAGGGGTTTGGACTGTTATTCAAAGTGAGCAAAATAGGCAGAAACTTCAGTGCTGTGTCACGACGATAGTCAAGGGTCTACCTACCTGAAAGGAACTCCCCCAACTTTTCACAAAATCTAGAATTCCCATGGGATCTCCTTAGGGGCCTCTTTCATGAGCTGTATGTATCTTATCATGTTGGCTTCCATTTTCTAATGGCTATTTCTAATGGATGTTTCATTAATTCACTCAATACCACTAATAGTTAGGACCCCCAAGAAAATGGAACATAGGAAGGTAAGTTCTGTAGACACACATGGCAAGAAAATTTTAAAAAGCCCAAAGGCTGGAGCACAGTACTTGGGGTCCCTTCAAAGTCAGGGTCACCTGGAGGAATCTAAAGGCCAGGGCAATGGGAAGGGATATCAAACTCAAATCCACCAGTATCTACCAAGCACCTCCTACATGGAAGTTAATGGAGTAGGTGCCAGAAGAGATCAAAGGAAACAAAAATATGATGTGGCCTTTTCATTCAAGGGAGTTGCCATTGCAAACAGTATCTGGGAAAGAATTAAATAATTATAACATTTATGGAATGATTACCATATGTTAGGTACCGTTCTAAGTGCTATGTATGTATCATCTCATTAACACTTACAAGAACCCTGTGAGATAGGTACAATGACTATATTCATTTTACAGATCAGGAAACTGAGGCACAAAGTCTTTGAAAATTCAGAGCGGGCATTCTGACTCCAGAGTCCTTGCTTTTGGGCATTATGCTATACTGCCTCCCAGACAAACTTTATATATTTCAGGTCCTTGGAGAGGTGATAGAAAAGTGAAAGCATATGCTTGGCAGAGCCCAGTCTGTCTGCGATACCAGATTCCTTCTACTTCATTACTTGAAGTCTTATGAAATATGGAACATACAAAGAATCGTCTTGCTTGTTCTAAGACATTTGGTCTAGGGTAGCTTGGGGGAGGACCCTTATAACCCAAAACCTAAGTCTTTAATCTGACCCTAAATATTTGGGGGTTGGGGATAATTGCACCTAAAAGACTTTTTGTTGTTGTTGTTCTGAGGTCTCAGCCAAGAAATATTTTCTTTTTGGACTTGCTACCTGAAATGTGGATAGCTGAGTAGAGTTACTTGGTGGCCTTTGATCCCATTAGAGAGTTCTAAACTGGTGGCCCAGATCCTTGAATGAAACCTGATATTAAAATAACACCAAGCTGAAGTCATGAGAGATTGTCTTGTAATGTACACGTTCAGGATAACCGAGACTTAGGGAAAATAGAATGAGTTTCAGCTGGCTTCATTTGCTCACTTGTGACTGTCCTTCCACTCTTGAGTGATTCTTAATCTGCATCTACACGTATCAGGGACACAGCAAGACATAAAATCCCTCACTCCAATTTAGGGATTTTAGAAGTTTCCAGAGGTTGATAAACAGCAGCACTCTCTTTAGTACTCCGAGAAAACTCATGGACAGAGCTACTAATGAATTTGGATTTCTCAAAGTTCATGTGTGGCTCTGATGTCATCTTCCCACACTATTTTATCTTCCATGAATCTTTAGTTCCTTACATTTGGCCTTTTTTGAGGCCTGACCCAGTGACCTCATGTTTGCAGGTAGGCTCTATTTTATCTGAGTCGCAGTATTTTCATAAGGGTGATCCATGGGCCTTTCTTTTCCGCCCTTTCAGCAGTAGCCAGCAGACACCTGCAGCAGTTGTAGTAACTACTTTAGCTATTACACAAACACAGTATTTCAGCTTGTTTATGGACTCATTAAGCAAGTGTTTATTTTAAGCTTCCTGCCCAACAAGGGCCAGGACTAATGTGAGGTGCATCCTTAAATTCTGCATCCTAGGTGCCCACTTACCCAAGCACGGTGCAGGACCCCGGGCCCCAGAGCCGAAAAAGATATGACTCTTACCCTTGATACTGACAGTCCAGTGGGAGACACACAAACGAACCAGCAGATGTTGTTGTTATTGTCTCAAACTGTAGACTGAGCCATGCTACACATTTTTCCCATTCTCTGTAGCTGACTATGTAATGAACTCAGAACGGAAGGAAAAAAGAAAAAACTTATTTGACTATATGATTTCCTTTAAAATAACTTACAAATTTTGCTGAAAACAATATTCAAATACTCCTCCATCAAACTTTCAGAATTAGCCTAGGGAAGAATATTTTAAATGCTGTTTTTTTTACCAACTGGGTAGAAGAATGAAACTCTCTGCCTTTTTTGACTTAATAAAAAAATAATAATAAATGCAGAGGCAAAAGTCTGTAGACCTTAAATAGACTTACCATCTGACTACTTTGAAAGTGTTTTCTTAAAATTGTAGCCAGTCAAATCATTATTTTGGACAGGAGGAGTTAATTTCCCCTATGGTTTCTAACTTAGCTTTTGGGGAATCACACTGCAAAATTCTTTTGTGATGATACTGAGGTAGGAGGCTGGATGCTGAAGTTCATCTTTAGTGAATTTAGTTCTGCCAGCCAACTTCTAAGCAAGCATGATGCTTCGCCCTGCTTACTTTTCCTCTCTTTTGATAGTCCAATTTGGATGGTTGTGAAGCCGTTTAGGCTGTGCACTTGTTTGCTTCTGTCCAGCCTGTGGAGACCATCAAGGCACGTGGTCTAGCATTTCGAAATGGCCATTCAGCTGAAGATATTTATCACATCAGGGCTGTGTTGGCTTTCTGTTGTGTTACATATATTTTTGTATTTTCAGTCGATGGACTTTTTAAGATATGAATAATTTAGAAACAAGTTTCTAATACATTTTTAATATTCTTTCTTAATTTCTTCTTAATTACAGAGCAAAGAGATCGCATTCCAACTTCATGAGGATTTAATGAAGGTTCTTAATGAGCTTTATACGGTAAGCACATAATCTTTCTTCTTTTGCAAGAATTCTTGGTTTAGAATTTGGGTTTGTAGAAATACTGCTCATTTTAGGACCCATTCAAGCCAGAGTGTCAATGGATGCTCATCTGATTGAAATATGGGACCAAGTGAATAGATGCACACTACTGTATTTTTTTGTCACTCCCTCCCAATTTGGAGAGGCTGTGTTTAAGTAAACACATATAAACGCAGTCAGCACAGTTTAAGAAACTAGAGGAGAGGTGTCTCGGTGTCTCAGTAGGACGTGTTTTAACTGTTGGATTATATGCAATCTGTACATATATTCAGTTATAGAATGTTTTGCTTAAAATTGTTGCCATTCTGAGACTTGAGCAATTTAGAGTTACTTTATTATAATACTTTAATTTTTTTTCCATTTCAGTTCAATTAATTGTTTGGTTAATGATGTCGTATATTAAAATTACTTTTGAGGGTTTACCCTTTTTTGCCTCCTTGCAACAATTTTCTTTTTTTTTTTTAACTTATATTTTATTTACGGTACCACATATAATCAAAATAAATTAAATAATTTAAAATTATTTTTTAAAAACCTAAAACCAATGATTCTGCAAACTGAAATTAGTGATATGCTCATGTAAATATTTTTTTACACTTAATAATCATGTTATTAAATACAAACTCCTTCTGGAGGTGTTTGAGTAGTAAAAGAATAAAATACTATAATGAGAAATGAGTAATACTAATTTGTACTAATGATAGATGTTTGCATGTTCACTGCACAGGATTATTTGAATTTTTCTTTACAGGCAAATTAAACCTGAAACTTATTATTAAAATATTTTTCTTGATTTACACATTCCATTTGTTGCTAAAAAGCCACATGTGTAAAATACATGTTTGTGAATTAAATTTTTAATGCTCCATTGCCGCTTGCTAATTAAAGGAAACTGTAAATTAAACTTTTATAAAATGAGTAATATTTTTATAAAATGAACCTTCTAATTTTTTAATATGTGTGTGATAAATCTCTATTTTTATACAGCACATTTGCAACATCTGTATTGTAAGTTTAATTGATGGCTTATATGTGTTAGTTCTTCCTCTTGAAACTTTTAACTTTATATGCAACCTGCAAAGCTTCATGTTTTAAGTTTATATCCATATATATCAAATACTTGCTGAAGCTGAGTTTTAGATGATAAAGGCCAATTATGTATAAGTTAAATGAACATTGTGCCTCTGAGACTTTCAAAGGAGCATGAGCAGAAATTCTGTCTTCTTTCATTGACCTGTTTTAAAATGAGGACTTCTTGGCACTTTCCTTATGGTTCTCTTTGCTTGGACATTGTTTTACCTAGAAATATAAATCAATCCCTAATACTTTAAAAAATAAATCTGTTGATTGTCACAGCATTATGGACAAGAGCCTACTGATTATGGTCTGAAACTAGTAGTCCTAGTCAAAGCAACAGTGGCAAAGACAAACTTGATCATTGAATACAAGAAAAGTCAATAGAATGTCATGAAAATTTGATCTCAGTGCGGGACATGTGTAGTGAAATTTCTGCTAGATTCAGCCTATCAATTGGATTTAGACATTTAGCAGATTCTATATAATTGAATCAAGTAAGCTGACACCTCCTCAAAACTCTTTTCAATGTCAGTCTGAAAGCCTGAAGGAGCCAGGCTCCAGAAAAGGTCCCTAGAGTTTGAGTGACCTGTCAGAATCGTTTAACCCCTCAGAGTCAGTGGAGGAATTGAGGAATAGAGGAAACAGGCAATGAGGTTTTAATTATGTTGTCTGTAGATCACTTTGAGCTTTTGGGAAAATTTTTACTTTAACCAGAAAGTATATTTAGTCAAGGCCAGAGGCCATATTTCCTGGGGAGAGAACTTCATATCACTGGCTTTCTCTCTCTCTCTCTCTCTCTCACATACACATTCTTTTTACTCTAACAGGAGCTATGCTGTTTGGTCTCTCCTGCACTTTACATTCAGATACACACATTTTGTCTTGTTCAAATGAATCTATCCCTTATACATATTTAGTTTACTTAGGAAAGAATAAAGCTGAGGCATATTTGAACAGTGGATCAGGAGTCAGAAGAGTGTAGTTTGGGTTCTTTATTCAATCACTGACTGGTACTGGTCATGAACAAATAACCTTCTAGTTGCATCATGCATAGAATTTTGTACAACTGATGATGTAATAATGATTGCTGAAGTAACATGTATAAAATATGTAGCCTCAGGTAATTGAGGATGCTATTTAATTGCCTCTTCAAATATTCACTCCTTACTTGCTCTCAATCCTTGAAACTCTTTGGGAGTTGAAGGTGAGCATTTGAGAAGTATATGAACTTCCTTATACCAATGGAATACTTTATTTTAAATTAAAATCAACCTTAGTGATGGGTAACAGCCTTATGTGTGGACTTCCTTACCCAAAAATATTGCTCCCAGAGCAATTGTTGATTGTTCCAAACATTCCTTCAGAAGGCTTTGTCTTAAGTAAGATACACATGCCCCAGAAGGAGAATAGAAAGAGATGCCTTATGATCATTTATATACCTTAGAGTGAACTGTGTTTTATCAGTCCACGTTGTATGGACGATATGATAGGCATGATGTCATATGATGATATGATAGATATATGGTATGACAGAACACAGGTCGTGTGGATAGGGCATGAAGTCCTGGACTTCTGGACAGGAGAGGGAGGATGATGTCATCACGGTGGCTTTTGAAAGGGGACTAAAAGGCTTTTAAAACATGAAGCTCCTTTTCTATATTTTTGCCCAATCGTGCCTTTTTTGCAGAAACAAGGCCTCATGATGGTTTTGAGCCTCCATTTGAATTATCACACCACCAGAAGGGGCAACCAAAGCAGTAAGGTCAGTTTGGCCTTGAGTAACAGAGATATTCAATGACATGATCAAAAAAGAATGTATATTCTCTCACATAAAGGAAGTCCAAAGATTTGGGAGCCCAGGGCTGGTATGAAGGTTACATGAACCCATCCAAGAATCAGGCTTCTCCTAATCCAGCGTTCAGAGAAACCCAATTACAACCTTTGTCCTTATAGTTCAAGATAGTTGCTAGAGCTCCAGTCATTACATCTGCATCCTCAGCCACAGAATGGAGAGAGGGCAAAAGGGCAGGCCTCTTGTCTCTTAAGGAGGCTTCATGAAAGTCCCACATAATGTGTTCACATACATCTGATTGGCCAGAACTTAGAACATGGTTTCAGCAGGCTGCAAGGAGGTCTGGCAATTACAATCTTTCAACTGGTGAGTTCATTGCTAAACAGTTAGAAATTGGGGATTCTGTTAATTTGAGAGAGAAGGAGAGTTATTTGTAGGTAGCTAGCCATGCCTGCCAGAGTAGTTAACATTTACTGCAAGCTTATTATGTATGTGCTAGTTATTGTGCTAACCACATTACTTGCATTGTCTCATGTAATCCTCATAGCATCTCTCTGACACAGTTACTCTCATTGTCCCCATCCTACAGATGAGGAACCTAAGGCTCAGAGGGGCTTGCCGCAGTTTGCACAATAAGAAGTAGAATGAGATCTCAAATCCAGGTCTGGCTCCAAAGCCTGTGTCTTTTACTGTCATTTTATCTCTATTGCCATAGTTCTGGGGAACCATTTTCTAAATAAGATCTCTAAATGTTAACCCACTGCCCCACAACACAGAGAACTTAAGCAGTTTATCATATGCTCATTTGTATGTTTTAGAATCAATGACATTCATGATGTTTTACCAGAATGTAGGTGAAAAATTAAACATTGGCCTAATGGCAACCTCTACTTAGAAATTTTCATTTAAATGATCGAACAAATAGACCTCATTTGGCTCAAAAGTGAAAGGGTGAACTAAAATCCTCAGACTCTCTTTCTGAGTCTAATTTGCTAATTAATTCCTTTTGAGTTGAACATTTGAAAGCAAGCTAAAGGATAGAATTAGCAAGTTTGGGAGTAGGGTTAAGAAACCAGGGAGAGTGATATGCTGTAATGAAACTGGACTGGCAGTCAGCAAACTTGTATTTGAATCCCAGCTCCATTAATTGCTAGTTGTGGGGCACTGGGAAATCATTTAACCTTCCTGAGCATCTGTATTAGTCTGGGTTCTCCAGAGAAACAGAACCAATAGGAGATGTATACATAAATGCGAGTGTGTGTGTGTACAGAGTGATTTATTATAAGGCGTAGGATCATATGGTTATGGAGGATGAGAAGTCTCAAGATCTGCAGTCAGCAAGTTGGAGACCCAGGAGAGCTGATAGTATAGTTTCAGTCTGAGTCTAAAGGCCTGAAAACCAATAGAGCCAATGGTGTAATTTCCTCTCCAACTCCGAGTCTGAAAGCAGTAGAAGACCAGTGTCCCAGCTCAAAGACCTTCACACAGAGAGAGCGAATTCTTTCTTACTCAGCCTTTTGTTCTGTATAGGCCATCAATGGATTAGTAAGGCTCACCCACATCAAGGAGGGCAATCTGCTTTACTCAGTCTACAAAATCAAATGTTAATCTCATCCAGAAACACCCTGACAGACACACCCAGAATCATGTTTGACCAAATATCTGGGCACCCCATGACCCAGTCAAGTTGACACATAAAATTAACCATCACAGCATCTGACAAGGCATCAGAGCATAGCGGGGAAGCGTCAGTGCTTAAAACACAGCCCTTAAATCCCTGCCACTTTCTAGCTGTGTGTGATCCTGTGCCTCAGTTTTCTTGTCTGTAAAATGGAGATCATAATAATCCCTAACTCTGAGAGTTGCTTTAAAGAGTAAATGCTATGAAGACTAAATTCATTCATGAAACCTTCACTGAACACCTGCTGAGCCAGACACTGTTAGATGTACTGGGGATATAGCTGTGAATAAAAACAGACCAAGTACTTCCTCTCAAGGCATTTATGTTCTAGGGAGGAGAGACAGACAGTAAACAAAGAAATGTATAATATGGCAGATGTTAGTGCTAAGAGGAAAGTAAAGCTGAGTT